AGTACTCGAAAGTGGACAATGCACGCGCCGCTCCCATCTTCTACCATAATGCGTCTCACATCGGTATCTAAAATTTATAAAGCGATAACAAGGGTATCATAGTGAGGGAAAACCATACCGTTGGTTTCTGACTTATCGAAGATGATACTTTCTTCGAGTTCATCATACCGTTCGTGGGTGATTGACCATTTGAGCTTGTGGGTTGTGGTGAACTTCACACTGTTGATGGAAGCATCGTCGCTGCCGCTGATGATCATGTGGACGATATGGGTTGGCGAGGGCGGTTTCGGCGGTCCTTGATGTTGTTCACGTCCTCTGGCAAAGTCGGTCCTTCCCTGGTCGCTCAACAACTCTTAGAGGTGTCCCTATCGTAGCATGTTTATGACCTCCTGTCTTAGGGCGATGCAATCCTCAGTTTTGTTCCCCCGCTCTTGGTGGAACTCGCAAAAGGCGTCCGATATTCTAGTACTCGGGTCTGACCTCATCTTTTTTGGCCACTTCACCTTGGTCCGAGCTTCTCCAAGGCGTAAACTATTTCTGTAGGTGACACACAAAAATTGTGAGCAGATAATAAATAGGGCATACCTCTTTCATTCCGGTGAGTCCCTGTCCTTGATCTGGGTGGGCCCTTTTCGTGGCTGGAGGAGGACACAATGGCAGCTCTGACATATTGTAGATGTCGTTCCTTGTTGGTTCGTGGAGCTGCGAGGTCCCTTCTGATATCATTTCTTCAATCTTTTTTGGATTTGGCATGTATCGAGGTCAATGGATGAGTCGGTCCATTGAGGTCGACCTCGTCTGCTCGGACCTTGGCACAATACGCGTTGTGTATTTCATCCCAAGTAGTTGGGGGGTGGTGCTTCATGAGCCGACTCAATAACTTTCTTGTTGCCCTTGAACCATTTCTACTCAGCCTGTTCTGAAAGGCTGCGATCGCCATCCCTTCCGATACGTTCGGCAAGGTCATTCTTACTCGATTGAACAGGGCGAGGAAGTCCCTAAATCCTTCTCCTAGGGACTTTTTAATAGCAAATATGTCGTTTACTCTCGCCTCGACCTTCTTGGCCTCAACATGGGCCGTTACGAACTTGTTGGCCATTTCTTCGAAAGTTTCGATGGAACGCGCAAGCAGTTGTGAATACCATGTTAATGCTCCTCTCACGAGGATCTCGCCGAATTTTTTCAACAAAATGAAGGATACTTGTTCCTTGGCGAGATCATTGCCTTTCACAGCGGTGATGTAGTGAGTCACATGGTCTTCGGGGTCGGTCATGCCATAATATATTTTCAAGTAGGGATGTATTTTAAAGGTTTTTGGTATGGTATGTGGGGTGGCGTTGTCGCTATATGGCTGCTCGACGAACCAGCCGACGTCTCTCTTCGGCAAGAGCTCAGGGGCGCTCGGTATCTTATCAACCCTTTCTTGGTGTTCTCTCATTGGGTCCCAGAGTGCTTTGTTCTCATTCTCCATTTCCTCCATCCTTCTGCGAAAGCATCGTAACCTGCACTGTTAATGACATTGTGAGTAATACTTGTCGTGGGAGGAGAAGGGAATTGGTTGTGTTACTTGTCTGCTATTTGTGTAACGCAAGTCTTCGCATTTTCTTTAGCCGTGTCCCGAGTGGGCTTATGGAGGACGCTGGTTAGCGTATCAGTTAGCCAAGCCTCAAGGAGTTTTTTCACAACTGGGGGCATCTCCTCCGCCACAGATGTGGAGGCTCCCTTACCAAGAGATTTTGTGATGCTGCAGTGAGGAGGAGGTGATCCATCTCGTCTAGGGGAGGCAATGGGCATTGCGTCTTTGTCTGTTGTTTCACATCTCTCATTGATGACGTTCATGAGGTTAATCGGGAGGTCACTTATTATTCTCGTCCTTTCTTCTCTGTTACCTGCCATATTGTATTTGTGCATGCAAAGAAAGGAGATCTTGTTCGTGCTTGTTTTTTTTTAATGTTAGTGATCCGTGTTAGTAATAGATCTAGAGGAAACAAAAATTTAACTAGGAAATCCCCCACAGACGGCGCCAAATTATTTGACCAAAAAGCGTAATTTTCGGTTAAAATAATTGTATTTATATAATGATGGGTTAAACCTAGTTAATATAATATTTCTAGATGTGAGTTCCGAAAATGCTGCTAACGTTAAACAGATCTAGTGGGGGATTGACAATAACATGTATTAAATATTCCAAAAGGTATGAGCAATAATGGAGAAGTAACTAGTAATAAATAACAATAAATGACATTTAAGTAAATAGAAGAAGTGGTTCACCAATAAAGAATGAACTAGATGATTGTTCCTACTGACAATGATGAATGATAGATAAATCCTAGAATGTTCGAACTATTTTCGGATCTGATGGACAAGCGTGGAATAATATGAACAAGAATCTTGATGAAAATGTAGTGTTTGTATCTTTACAAGAGAGATAGAATCATTATCAAAAGTCTGTTCTTATCAAGTGTATGTCACATGCTCACATTCATTGTCTTTTTTCCTATTTATATGGGACATATCCCTAACAAATCCTAATAGTACATGTGTAGAGAATATTCACTAGAATATTCCCTTTATTATCCTATTCTAAAAACTAGCCGTTACAGCCTTTTTGCGATGCTCGACCCTGATCATTGTTGACATCCCGACTACGAGCTTCACCGTTTCCTGATCGACCTTGACCGATTCTTTCCTCAATGCTACCTCGCCCTAAATGTTTTGTGGCAGAATTCGACCTATACAAGTAACATGTTGCATAGCAGCCTCTGCAAGTTTGCTCATAATGCTTTTACAAACCTTTCTCTTGACCAAGTTCTAAGCTTGTCTACAGTCTGATACCCCGGGCTGAAAACATGGTGATTAAGACCCGAGAAGGATGTCGTTATTCTTAAAAAAAAGATACTATATGAGAAGAAGAGTAGGGTTTTTTCGGACATATTAAACATAATTGGACACCAAGAACAGAAGAAGATAGGGGGAATTACACATAAATACAACTCACACACATGTATTGCAACTAAGTAGCCTATATTTAACTTTGCAAAGCTATAGCCCAAAAATAATATGCTAAGATTCAACAATCAACTCCAATAGGTACTCAAAATTACTATTCAAATTTTAAAAACTCAAGCTTTTAATCTAATTTCCGAATAAGTAATTGTGACTCAGATATTAGTTCAACAAACCAAATCCACTTGGGTGGTAAAAATTAGATTTTTAAGATAATCCATCATCGTTAAACACGCTTAAATATCGAATATGGTTTTTTTGTGAAATTTGTAGTGGATGTAGTTTATACTTCTTAGAAATAGTATAGCGAGGTTGTATACAAAATTTGACGTTCATTTAATGAAGATTTGGACTGGTCCACTATTGTTAAACAAGCTTAAATAAGTGGGTTTAAATTTCGGATTTAGTTTCAGGAGAAATTTGGAGTGAGTGTTATTTAGATTTGGTAGAAATAGTATAAGGAGGTTGTATATAAAATTTGAAGTAATTTAATGGAGATATGGACTGGTTTTGAACAAGAATTGCAACTGAAAATCGTAGAAGAAGTTCGTCTACAAACGCTTGTATATATGTATAAAAGTGTAGAATGGTGTATAAGAGGTGTTTATACACCCATATACACTATTATACATCATTATACAAAAACTGACTTCGTCTTCTTCCCTGCGTCTTTTTTGAAATTTAACTCAAATAACTTCAAATTTAAATTTTGAATTCCTTTTGATGTTTTTAATCAATTGAAACAACACCCGATCCAAATAACTAACAAACTCACAAAATTCTATTTTCGAAAGCATAGCTTTGAATGGCCTTCAATGGTGGGACTTCTACTCTTCAATTTTCTTACATTGCAACCCGGTGATACAGGGGAAGAAGCAACAATAGTGGACAACTCCTTAAAGCATATGTAGAAGATGTGAGAAGAAGAGAGACAGAAAGCCAAATAAATAATAATAAAAAAAAAACTGAATTACCATTACTAATTTAACGTGCGCATTATGTGCAAAGAAAAATTGAAAAAATGACACTGTATAGTCGCTGTAAAAAAAAATAGCCAAAAAAATATATAAAATTTGTATATAACATACAGAAATGTATGTTATATACAAAATTATACAAATTTTATACACTTTTTCGGCTACCAGATGTAAATAATTTCTGGCAAAAGTGATAATACCCCAAGAAAATTTTAGAATATGTACAATATGGGCTAAATTAGGTTGGGACTTCAAATGTGGATCATTTTCGGACGGGGTGTAGGCCCAAGTGATATCTGATGTAATTTTGTGTATATCGAAGCTTTGTCCCTGATTATTGGCTGATAAGCATTTACTGCTACCTGTGAAAGATATGACTTTCATGGCTAACACAGAAGGACTCAACAGTTAACAATTCATAGATTACTTATGCCAAGCTGATAAGCCATTGTACTAGCATGTGGCTTCTTTTAACAGCCTGGACAAACTTCAAAAACGTCTGTTTGTCCATGGCTCTAAGCATAGGATTACAGCATCACTTCTTCCTCTAGACAACTCGGCCTCGTTTCTGTAGAATCACCTTGAACTGGAAAAATGTTAGTACACGACAGTTCATCCCGTCAGAAAGTTTATTGCTAACATGAGAACAGCTGCAGAAAATTTTAGAAGAATAGAAGTAGCAAGAAATAAGAAGTCATCCTTTATGCACAAAAAATTGACTCAACTGATTCCTTGTTTTGAACTTTGAAGCACACTCGTTAATTCTATAAATTCTAAGCTGGTAAAGAACATGTTGCAGAGCAGCCTCAGCATGCAGGTGGAGGAAAATGCATGCAAACCCTCATTGGACAAATATGGAACACCAATAAAGGGAACATTTTGCCTTCTCATTTTTTCTTCTTCCTAGATCTAACAACGGAAAAATGTTATTCTCTCTTCCTTTTCTTACTCAACGTTCCAGTTCCTCTTTGAAATTCTATCCTAAGATTGTTCTGACATGAAATAAGGAGAAACAGATGGATATGAAGCTTTTGTTATTGACTGAAGAAATTACAGCACAAGTGAATGAAGTGTTACAAATACGGCCTTCACCTCAACCTCACCAGAAAACAACACCCCAAAGAAACGAAAAAGGAAAAGAAGAAAAAGGACAATGACTCATGGATGTGAAACTTCCTTCTTGGCCAGTTACATGTAAAATCTAGCACAGAAATAATTTACATATGTTTTCTGGCTATCTTATTTTTTTCTTTGATATTAGATCATATTTTCTCCAACCCCATCACTCAGGCAAATACTTCATTTAGAAATTTGGACCGGCAGCCAGGATCTCCTCAGCCAGGTTGTTATCAGTTCCGATCTTGTAGTTTGTGAATACCTCAAAATTCTTCCTAAAGAGACCTCCCAGCTTCAACAGGGTATCCTTGTGAGCCTTCTTGTCAGGCCACTGTAGCAACATACGAGATTATACATTTTAGCACAAAGTTATTTGCAGAATATAGCAATTAGACGACGCTGAGGTGTATGCTAATTACTTACAGTGTTCATAGGATCAAGAATCTCGGAAGGTACTCCCTCGAGTTCAGTTGGAATCTCCAGTCCAAATACCTCAGTCTTCTTGTAATTTGCATTCAAGAGGGCCCCGGAGTGGATAGCATCGATGATCTTCCTTGTGTATGCTAACTTAATACGGCGACCTGATCCATAGCTGGTCATAAAAATAGAAATTTGTTACCTATATAATCCAATTGCATTACATATTGTGGTGACTGCTCTTAGTATTATCTTTACCTTCCACCTGACCAGCCGGTGTTCACAAGCCATCCGGTAGCTCCATGTTTCTTCATCTTCTCAGCAAGCATAGCTGCATATTTTGTTGGATGAAGCATTATAAATGCTGCACCAAAACATGCTGAAAATGTTGCTGTAGGCTCCTTAATACCATCCTCAGTTCCTGCCACCTGTGAAATATATTGTCAAAGCAATAGTTATTACATCTATATATCTTGATTGTAATTTGTGAGGCATGTCAGATTTAATGTTTATATTACCAAAGCTGTGTAGCCACTGATAAAGTGGTACATTGTCTGCGCCAAGTTCAATTTGCTGACTGGCGGGAGCACGCCAAATGCATCACATGCAAGCAGGATGACGTTCTTTGGATGAGGACCAACACATGGTATTTTAGCATTTGGAATGTATTCAATTGGATATGCTGCCCTGGTGTTCTCTGCAGTCAAACCATTCCATTATAGCGATGAGACAAAATCAGCTGAAGATCACTTTGAGATGAAAAATCTCTATTCAATTCAACAAAAGTTATTACCTGTTACAGATTTGTCTGCATAATCCACTTCTCGAGTGTGTTCTTCGAAAACCACATTTTCCAGCACTGGATAGAGAACAAGCATATCAATTTGGGTTCACTTGACAGCAAATAATGTCAAGACATCATGGGAATCAGGAAAAATACCAGTGCCAAACTTGATGGCATTCCAGATATCAGGCTCCTTCTCCCTTGAAAGGTCTATGCATTTGGCATAGCAACCTCCCTCGATGTTTGAGACACCATGATCACTCCAGCAGTGTTCGTCATCTCCAATCAGGTATCGGTTGTGGTCAGTAGACAATGTTGTCTTCCCAGTTCCTAATAAGTTGAACAAGAAAATGCAGAAAGAGAAACATGAGTCGTTTATGGAAACAAAGAAGGTAAGTTTCGCTGTAAGATATAAAGGTTAATTAGAGGGGACGAATCATTGCTGCTCCACCAATCCCTTTAATGCTATACCTGATAATCCAAAGAAGAGAGCAACATCTCCTCCTTTTCCCATATTGCAGCCAGAGTGTAGAGAGAGGATTTGGCGCTTAGGCATTAGATAGTGCATTAGGCTGAAAAGACCTTTCTTCATTTCCCCAGCATACTGTGTGCCAAGGATGACCATTTCCTTCCTAGCAAGATTGACGTCTATGCTAGTGGAGGAAGTCATATAGTGGGTGTAACGGTTACATGGGAATTGACCAGCATTGTATATTGTGAAGTCCGGAGTACCAAATTCCTCCAGCTCTTCAGCAGTGGGTCGGATACACCTGTCACCGACCCCGTTATTCCATTGCACTCACTAACATGTTTTAATTTATATCTTTTGTGTTCCTTTTATTAACTATGGCTAGCTCTTTACTGGTTGTAAAATCTAAATCAGTAAAATTGTAGAAGTAGAGGATACTTATCTGATGAGCTATAACACATAAGAATATAAAACAGAGTTATGAAAAAGGATCATGATCAGTTTCTTACATGTTGTGCATGAACAAGGAGTGATAAGCTCTGGCAGATACAATTCTAACTTTGATACGATTGTTTGGATCCCAGTTGAGGAACTGATCATTCACGTACACCTGAAATGAGACCCGAGTTGTTTAACATTTTGACTGCTTAGTAACTAGCAAATAGTCAGAAAACATTGTATTTTCATCATTTTAAAATGATTGAAGCTTCTTATTCTTGTTTGTATTTTACTGATAACTTTTCTAAGACTTAAACTTCTGAAATCAACAAAAGAACTATGATCTCGATCTTCAGATACCTTAAAAAGTTATTTGAATACAATTGTATGTAGCAGATATGAATGGGCAGATATTTCATCCATATTGGGACCCAAAAATTAATACTACCATTTTGTTTGTTGTAGAAAATATGTGTACATAATTCATTAAAATGTGGACAAATATGTTCAATTATTGAATATATCCCATCCCTAATAGAAGATAGGAGATATGTTGCACCATAACCATAAGTGTCTAATGTCCTGTGGCCATGCTCTATCTTTAATGGGATTAAGAATAGTTACATCATTTGCTGCAAGAAACAACCCGGAAATATGCTGCCCTCGTCGTTATTATAATCTTAGTATACAGTAGTATGAATAAGACAATGTAATATAAAATTTGTGACAGCTAGCTGTACATATCATATAACACGAAAAAAAAAAAGGACTGAAAATAGTTTGCTCCATACAAGTAGTAGTATTTTATTTATGTGAAGTAAGGCACTCCTACAGATTATCGAAGAATGACTATGGACTGAGTACTATCTATCTCCTCAAGTTCAGGAATTGAATTATTAATTGTCCGACTCTATTTTTAGTGAGGTACTTATTTTTTAGGCAAATAAACGCGGTGATGATGTAGATGATGATTGGATAGCAGTAAGCAAGGCAGAAGCATAACTTTTATATCGTTGACATTAATAACCAAGTGGATAGGGTATAGAAACAGTGGCGGATCAAGGGTGGCAGATACGGGTTTACGAGAACCCACTAACTTTTCCACGGACCTTAAAGTTCACTAGATATCTATAAATACTTGACGGTGAATTGAATTATTATTGTATATTAAGTTGAAATTGTTGTAGTAACTCATAAACTTTAAATCCTGAATTCGTCTCTGTATAGAAATTAAGAGATCTTTAGTGCATGTTAAAAATGATTATGAAGACCTTAGTGAAATGATAATATTGTTTAAAATCAAGTAAATACCTTCTCCAACGAGCAAAGGTAATCAACAGCTCTTTCTCTGTTGATTAAGAAAGTCTGCTCGTCCATTTCGATATTGGGCGAGCCCCTGTTACAAAAAATCATTACAATCACGACGTCAGAAAGTGACACTACAAATTTAAAATAATAATTTTATGGAATAAAGAAATTTATAAATTAATATCATATCTAAACGGATATACGGATCCAGGATTTATATACGTGTAATTGTTTTTTTAATTTTATATGTATACATATATAGACAGAGTAAAAAAAAGGGGACTTACTTTCCCCACCAAAGATCTTTCTCAGTGGTTTCGTCTCTAACAACACGCTTGTCTCTAGGGGAACGGCCCGTTTTGGCTCCCGAAAGTGTGGCCAATGCACCACTGGACGTGATAAATGAACCCTTCTCATACTTGATTGCTTGCTCATACAACTCTACAAAAAGGAAGACATAAAAAGTGAATTATATTCTTTAAAAAATATTGAGCGTTTAACCATACAGTAGCCCTTTTTTCCATTCATTTTCACTTTTCAAGATTTAACCAAAGTAGTGAAGTCATTAGAATAAGAAAAGATTTGTACGGTATATTACATCAAGACTTTCTAAATTAATCAATTAATTTGATTATGCACCTAAATTTGAAAATGGCACAAGAATTCAATTAAATTAGTGACTATAAAAAGTAAAAGGGAGGGTGGTGGGCAGGCACTATTATTATTAGAGTCAAAGATTGGAAGAGTCAAGAAAGATGATACTAGTAGAAAATTATTTACCAGCAGGAGAGAGATTGTAGAGGATGTGAGTGAACTTAAGGGCACTGTCACTAATGTTAAGGGTGGGCGCGTGGTAGTGGTGAGTTGCATGTGACTGTGCCACCTTCGGCGTTTCCGCTTGCCTTGCCGGGTCTCCTTTCACCACCTTTGGACCAGTCTCTCGTGTCAATGATGCCAATGACGCACTATTTTTAGATAGTGAAAAAACAATAAGTTTAGCATGTTACCAAATTAGGGGAAGCAAATAGAAAAGAAATGGAAATGTCGTCATACTCACTAAATTTTAAATTTTTACGTTAAGATTCACAGGTAAATAGTAGGAAAGTGATTTTCTTTTTTTGGTGGAATAGTAATTTTCCACTTGTAGTTAGGATACGTTACCACTAGATCACAACTTTAACATTTCTAAGAAAATTTCTTTTTTCATTTTTTTGTTATTTTTTGGTTGAGATAAACACGTAAGTAATTGAAAAAAGAAAAAGTTGGACGAGTTGATATATATTATGCAGTTACTGTGAAAAACCATAATGACTAGAAAAACTCCTAATTTAATCTTTTCTTTTTGGCAACATAATGGGTGCAGCGACTCGAGACAATATTGCAACGTTAAGACACCACGATAAAAAATGGAGATAGCAAGCAAGTGAGATGTACCTTTCTCTTTAAATAGAGATAATATTATGTGGGCCAATGTTACACGCACTAAATATCACACCGATATCATAGACACTAGATTTCTTTCCTTATTTCAGCTAGACATTAATTTCGAAATGGATTAATAGGACAAAGAAGATCCTATATTTTCACCACAAAAAAGACGTCGTATGAGTAAGATGTAAACTTCTATGGCAATTAAATATCAATCCTAAAACATATATTATGATTACCTAATGGATTGGAGCTGTTGTTTCTGGCGTTCTTCTTCAGAAACGGCAACGCCAAAGACATGGGGGGATTTTATCGGAGTAGTGGGCGCTGATTTCTTCTTCTGAAGAGAATGCAACTCGTCCAATGTCTGCGCTTTCATCGGCGTAGCACTGTCGTCATGACAAACCACGTTGTCATCGTCTGTCTTCTGTGTCTGGATCTTCGGCAGCCCACTTCTCCTTTTACTGTCGAAACTAAATCCTCCATTTCCGTTTGATGCCATCTTTATCCTGCAAATATAATCACAAGAAAGGAAAAAAAAATACCATCAATTAACAATTTATAGGGCATGTCCCAACTTTATCAAAGCGAATTTATCAGAACGTGTATGATCTTATTATATGCAAGTATTTTAATATTTTTTGCCTATCTATGCATTGTTCGAGCTGAAAGCAATATGTTCGGGTGAATTCTCAGCGTCCGCCTTTGCATTTCCTCCACTATAGTATATAACTATTACGCTAATTTTGGAAATTCACGTTCACAAATCATTGATGTTTATGGAGGAATTAAGATGTTTGATAATATGCTGAAGAGAAAACAGAGATGAAAAGGAGAGCTAATTACCAGAATCAGAGAGGAAGATGGTGATGAGAATGAAGACTTGAGAAAAGCTGAAACTTTAAGCAAAAACGAAAGGGTTCAACCATACACTGTATTCGAAGTGAATTAAGTTGAAAACCAACAAATCGAAAGATGTGTTCTTTTGGGCAACTGAGCTGCTGAATTTATAGTGCCTTGTCACACGGTTCAACCTTTGGTTCAGCTAACCATGGTTAATGGATAACCCAGAGAGTTGTCAAGATAAGATTTTCCAAACTTAAAAAAGAAAATGTTTTAAATGGCTGGAAAAAGACAACATGCACAAGTAAGGCCGTTAATTAATTTCTCAAACTGAATACTTAAGTACATAAAAGATGAATTACTTGCTAATGGAATTCAAAAGAGGAACAAACACCGGAAATTGAGATAAGGATCTTAACCTTCTATTCTTACGGGATTAACAGAGTAAATTTTTGTAATATTTATACAGGTATTTATATCAGACCATATTAACTTAACACGATTAAGTGATTTAATGAGAAATAATATATGTACTAATAATTAACCGTACTTTAATGAATAGGTGTATGCACAAATATTGAAACACATATCATGTATCTAGTGATCTGATATAAACACCCACGTGAATAAGTGTTTACCTTAAATATTTATTCATATAAAAGATTGAGATCCTCTTTTTTATTTTCATTAGATGTTTGAACTAATATTAGTAAAGAACCAGTCAACTGACTGAAAAAATGATAGATCTTGACAATTCAATTTTTAGCACATATCATATCTAATTATTTCTTACGTGGATAACTATAATATAGGTACTTTTTCTAAATTTCTATGAATTAATTAGATCCGTAAATAATGGAGAGCAGATAGAAGAGGACGTTTAATTAGAACATTAGGGCCGGTTTGACCATAATTCTTTTTTTTTTTTTTTTTACTTTTTTTCAAAATCAATATTTTGCCATAAAAATTTAATTTTCACTTGAAGATGTATTTTAGATTTTTTCGAAAATTTTAAAAACTTCAAAAAACTGTTTTTCAAAATTTCACTTCAGATCACTCACAAAATTTTAAAAACAATCCAAAATTGTATTCATGTCCAAACACAACTCCAATTTTCAAACGCCATTTTTACTTAAAAAAGATTTTACTTTTTTCCGAAATTTTACAATTCTTATATCCAAACGCCCACCTAGACGCTGTGCTGCAACAACAAATCCTATAACTTTGAACTTCGCTAACAAAATTAGCAGGCTTAATAATTACATTTTCATTTTCTCTTATTAAAAGAAAAGGAAAAATAAAACAAAAAGATAGAGGAGAAAAGGTCAATTAGGGAATTTAATACAAGTGAGAAATAAGGGTGGACAAATATACGTAAGTGTTCGGTGCCAAACGAAGAAATCGGTCGTATTGCGGGTGCTGGATACACGTCAGAGGCGTAATCACAAGGCCAAATTTGACATTCTGTATTTGTTCTCTTCTTTATTCTATCTGTTACTGCTGCATTAGCAGCTGCTGCAGCTATGCATCGTCTGCTCATCTGCAATTTCCGTAATTTATGTGATGGTTTTATCAACTTGGCGTTACAGAAATATTTAATACCATATTAAGTTATTAACTACATCTTTTAATCAATGAGTTGTAGAATCAATGTTTATTTTTTAAGTAATTAGAAAAATCATGAAAAAATGGAGGAAAGGTAAAACTGAACGAGAGGATCCTTGGCTCAATGATAAGTTAACCCCTGTTTTTTTTTTGATTGAATAAGTTATCCCCTGTTAAAACATAATTCATCCAACTGGTCGAGACTTGAGCATGAGAATATATATATATATATTTATTAGCAAGTCATTTTAGACATTATTCAGGTTAATTCATCTACAAACTTGTGCCAATTTGGCGCTGTATACTTCGGCTAAATTAACAGAAGACTTATCAAAATATCAAACATAGATTCACTTTCTAATTTGGTTTGCTTGATATAGTCATAATTGCAAAAGTCTTTTAATAGTTTGATTTGGTTATTAAATAAGTTACAAAAGAACAAACAAATGAAAAGTGATAAACATTGGACGAGTTGGGTTATGAATAATTGTTTTAGCCTCCGTGTTAACCGATGCATAGACCCAAACAAACATTGAACGAGTTATCATCGTATCCATTTATTGATTCGATTCATTTTAAACGTCCAAATACAGGCATATTTTCCTTTTTCCTTACCCTACATATCCAATAAATTTAAAAGAACGCGTCAAGTGATTTTCTTATTAGTTATAAGAGACAGATCTACCTTAGTTTAGGGAAACAAATCAGGAAACTTGTAAATATTCAAGTCATTTAATTAAGACTCTTTTGAAAAAGAAAAGCGCTCTTAGTTGTAGTTACACACTTACACCTACCATATGGTAAAGCTGTATCTGGGGTAACACTTGGTTACGGCTGTTTAAGACAACTATCCTAAAAGCAAGTGGTAAAGAAACTTCTTAAGTAGACTCTCTCTCTTCTATTTATGCTTCAATTAGGGTACTCCCTTCGGTCCAAAATAAGTGATTTTTTGGTCTTTTTTTGTGGTCCAAAATAAGTAATTTTTCAGATTTCAAGAATGAATTAATTATTTTTTTCCTACATTGTCCTTGGAGTAAATAGTGTTGGAATATGTGTTAGGAGTGTTTATGTGAGATAGTAAAGGTTAATATGGTCAATTCCATTACTAATTAATGCTAAAAGGTGAATTTCTTAATCTGTGTGAAAATATCTAAAAAATCACTTATTTTGGACCGGAGGGAGTATTGGACTTTAGTGTTTATTGGGAATTGGACCAAGATTTCGTTCCAAATTTGACCTTTTTATCACCGTAATTAATTACTACTCCACCTTTTTTCCTGAGTCCATTACTCTAATAGTCACTCAACTATCCCAAATTATTTTCTAAAGTCACTTTTCTTTTGTTTGTAACAACAAAGTCAATGAACCATGCCTATTGCACTCAGAAGGTCACTCAACTAGATTTTCCAAATTTTGGATTGACAAATACCTAATTTACTCTCCAAATTATAAACATTTATCTTCTTTTTATTTTTTTTAAAACCTTTTAATATTATGATTTTTTCCTTTTTAATTTACATTAAGGATTTACCTATAGAATAAATATAAATTATTTATAAATTTAAAAAATTAAAAATAATTAAGCATATATAATGCTGAAATAATAAAATAATGAGTATAGTAAAAATATTAATTAAAATAATTTGTTAGTAATAATAATTTTAGTATTACCAATAAAAATTCAAAAATTTATTTACACAATTCAGAATGAAAGAAAATAAAGATTGTAAAATATATATTACATGCACATAATATAAAAATATTCAAATAAAAGTATTTTTATAATATACATTATATATTCTTGAAAATTATGCTCAATTATATTATATATATTCCATGCACAACTTAATATAGCATATTTTACCCTATACAGATAGTCTCGCTGCTTTCCGGTGACATAACTTTGTGTCGTCTAAAAGTTGGTAGAAACATAATAATATAATTGGACATAATTTTCAAGAATATATAATGTATATTATAAAAATATCTTTTAAATAATTATTTTTATATTACGTGCATGGGATATATATTTTACAAACTTTTTTTTTCTTTCGTTCTGAATTGTGTAAATAATTTTTTGATTTTCTTTTTTGGTAACTAGCTTATTTTATTAATCACCAAGTAGTAATTACAAAACTATAGCATAGCTAACACAGCCTACTATCTTTCCATATACAATTCATCCTCTACTACCTAGAAATATAAGTAATACACAAACGACTTGAATTTTTGATGCTAATACTAAAAAAGTTTTAAAAAAAATAAAAAGAAAATAAATATTTATAATTTAGAGGGTAAAATAGGTATTTGGAAATCCAAAATTTGAAAAATCTAGTTGGGTGACCTTCTGAGTGCAATAGGCATATTTCAGTGACTTTGTTGTTACAAACGGAAAAAAAAAAAAAACTTTAGGAGATAATTTGGGATAGTCGAGTGATCATTTACTAGCATGATAGCATAACAAAATTTCCAAAAAAACCCAATAAATTGTAACGCATACTAGGTATTAAGCGCAGATGAATCCGCTACTGAAGCTCTATGTCTATTATCGCCTATTCTCACATCCTCAAAATTTGAAAGTGCTACTATTTCACAACAAGATCCCTATAAACTTTGATCAAACATGCATTACGATTTACGAAGATGTACTTCTAAAACATATTTATTTACTGTAGGATTTTTCCTAAAAGAAGCACAGTTAAAAACAAAGCGCGCAATGTACACTGCAAATGATTACGGGAAGGAAGCCATATGAGAAACCTTCTTACACATATATAGACAAACACAAAACTTAGAGTTAATATGCAATTAAAAATAAATGTCTTTTCATATTTATATAATTTGTATTAAATTCGCCTACCGGACCTTAATGGGAGGGAATTCTTTTTTTAAAAGGATATATAGAGCAAGGAGAAACAAGCATTTATAGGAAGGAATAGGGGTGAGCATAGTTTGGGCAAGCTCGAGATCCAAATTTTTTGAATTTTTGGTTAGGATTTTAGGATTACGGATTGAATTTCGAATTTAATTTTTAATTTTTTTGAATTTTGAATTGGATGTTGGATTTGGTACTTCAAATTTTAATATCCGAAAATCCAAAATGTATACTTTATATTTAGTCATTATTCATATGCCACTAATAACAAGTCTAATACCTTACCCATTAAACTTTATTTCATATATTCAATACTAATTATTACGTTACTGCTCGTAGTACTTTCTATCTGGACATGATTTTACTATTTCTACATTTTATCGGTCTTATTAATGCGCCTTTTGCATTTTCTTGAGATAATTTTATTACTTAAATATTTTATTTGCATGATTGTGATCAGATGAATACTTTATTTAGATCGGACTTAAAAAATCCGAGCTTTATTAAACTGAATTTAAATTATTATTTCTCCAATCCAAAAAGCAAAAATTTAAATCGGTATTTGCATATTCAATCTGAACTGGCCGGACTCCTACCTCTAAAAGGTAGCTTAAATCGTAAAGCACAAAAACGGCCGGCGTGACGGGAGTAAGGAATGGAGCGAGAGA